AAGGCGGTGTCAGCGGCAGCCTCCCCGACCCGGTCAGTGGTAGTCAGTAGTGGCCAGTGAGGGCCAGGGGCCTTCCTGTGCCAAGAGGCCTGGGCCCGAGGCTTCTCCTCTGGCTCCCTTTTGGGATGCTAGGAGAATAGTCTTCTTTGTTTATGGGGCCAGCGGATGGGGCCACACCCAGGACAGGAGTGGGACCCTGTCCTGGGCACTTCCAGGCTGACTCCAATACAAAGGCGTCACCTCCTCATTTGGGTACCTTGTGCCCTTGTTAGCCTGTGGCCACCTGGGCACCCCAGGAAGAATCGGAGAGCCTGGCTGCGGAGTGCTAGGGGTGGGGGGCAGTGGGAGGCTGAGGACTGGAGGGCTCTGAGAAGCCCCTTACTGGTCTGGTGTCAGAGGGGCCTTCCTGAGGGAAGTGGCAGTGAGGGGGGACTCTCTGGAGGTGCGGAGGACAGACAAGGAAGAGCGGTGTGAAAGGAACCCTGTACCAGGCAGAAGGAACAGCGTGTGCAAGGGCCTAGCCAGGAGGCAGGGCTAGTGTGCGCGGCCCGGGCACGGGGAAGCGGCACTGGAGGGAGACCTGGTGTGTCTGGAGGGGCCGCGTGGTGGGGAGCCTGGCTCACTCCTGGACACAATTATTCCAGAGACCCGGCAACCTCTGGCGCCTGCTCACACGTGCAGGCCTTCCAGGGACCCCACTGGCCACAGCTCCACACCCCAGTGCTGACTTCGCACTCACGTGGCCCAGGGAGCCCTGGATGGACCAGCCTCCCACGCGCCACGCTGACCCTGCAGAGGGCCCAACGCCAACCCACCCGTCTGCCCTGAGCGCCGTGCACACAGCATGGTCCCTGCACTGGGGACACCTCAGCCCCTGAGCTGTGCTCAGGGTGCCCTCACAGCCCCACACCACCCAGGGGACCCTTACTCTGAGCATCCTCCAACTGCGAGGCCACACTGCTGTGACTGTCCTCACTGCCCCACCACGTCCTCACTGCCCCACCGTGTCCTCACTGCCCCAGTGTGTCCTTATTGTCCCCACCATGTCCTCACTGCCCCACCGTGTCCTAACTGTCCCACCGTGTCCTCACTGTCCCGACCCTAACCTCACTGTCACACCCTGTCCCCTCCTGTCCTCACTGCCACACTCTTTCCTCACTGTCCCACCCTGTCCCCAACCTGTCCTCACTGTCCCCAACCTGTCCTCACTGTCCCACCCTGTCCTCACTGTCCCACCCTGTCCTCACTGTCCCACCATGTCCACACTGTCCCGACATTGTACTCACTGTCCCACCCTGTCCTCACTGTCCCACCCTGTCCTCACTGTCCCATCGTGTCCTCACTGTCCCACCCTGTCCTCACTGTCCCCACCCTGTCCTCACTGTCCCACCCTGTCCTCACTGTCTCACCATGTCCACACTGTCCCGACATTGTACTCACTGTCCCACCGTGTCCTCACTGTCCCACCCTGTCCTCACTGTCCGCACCCTGTCCTCACTGTCCCACCGTGTCCTCACTGTCCCACCCTGTCCTCACTGTCCCCACCCTGTCCTCACTGCCCCACCCTGTCCTCACTGTCCCCAACCTGTTCTCACTGTCCCACCCTGTCCTCACTGTCCCACCCTGTCCTCACTGTCCCCACCCTGTCCTCACTGTCCCACCCTGTCCTCACTGTCCCACCCTGTCCTCACTGTCCCCACCCTGTCCACACTACCCCACCCTGTCCTCACTGTCCCACCCTGTCCTCACTGTCCCCACCCTGTCCTCGCTGTCCAACCCGTGTCCTGTCGACACCTTGGACTGTCCCCGACCCTGTCCTCCACTTGCGACGCACCCTTACGCCTAATGTCCCACCGGTCTCACATGCTCTCGCCTGTCAACCCTGTGCGTCACTGTGTGCCACCCGTGTCCTCACTGCCCCACCATTGTCCTCAGCTGTCCCACGCTGTCACTGTCCTCACCCCTGTCCTTTCAACCCTGTCCTCACTGTTCACCGAACCCATGTCACTCATGCGCCCCACCCATGTCCTCAGCTGGTCCCATCGGTGTCCTCACTGTCCACCCTGTCCTCATGTCCACGGTCCTCAACCTGTCCCACCTGTCTTTGTTTTGTTGTTGTTGTTACTGTTGTGTTCTTATTTCTTTGTTCATCCCTGTCCTCACTGTCAGTGCGTGTCCTCACTGTCCCCAGCCCTTTCCTGTCCCACCTGTTTCACTGGCCCGCACCTGTCCTCACTTGTCCCGACCTGTGCCTCAATGTCCACCTGTGTCTCAAGTGTCCCCACCATGTCCTCACTCGTCCCACCTGTCCTCGACTGTCCCCACCCTGTCTCACGTGCCGCGCACCCTGTCCTCCACTGTCGGCCCCCAGTGTCACACTGTCCCCACACTGGTCCTCACTGTACCCACCGTGTCTCACTGCCGCGCACAGCCGTGTCGTCACTGTCCCACCCTGTCCTGTCAACACCTGTTGTCTCACATGTGCCCCCTTCGCGTCACGTGGCCCCGACCCTGTTCTAACTGTCCACGTTGAGCCTTCCTGTCGAAGCTCGTGTCCTCAACTGTCGACACCGCTGTCCCGCTACTGCACCGACATGGTCTTCGGACTGTCCCACCGTGTCCTCACTGTCCCACCCTGTCCTGTCACACCCTGTCCTCACTGTTCCCACCCTGTCCTCACTGTCCCCACCGTGTCCTCACTGTCCCACCCTGTCCTCACTGTCCCACCCTGTCCTCACTGTCCGCACCCTGTCCTCACTGTCCCACCGTGTTCTCACTGCCCCACCGTGTCCTCACTGTCCCATCGTGTCCTCACTGCCCCACCCTGTCCTCACTGTCCCACCGTGTCCTCACTGTCCCACCCTGTCCTCACTGTCCCCACCCTGTCCTCACTGTCCCCACCCTGTCCTGTCCCCACCCTGTTCTCACTGCCCCACCTTGTCCTCACTGTCCCCACCCTGTCCTCACTGTCCCACCTTGTCCTCAGTCCCCACCCTGTCCTCACTGCCCCACCCTGTACTCACTGCCCTACCGTGTCCTCACTGTCCCACCGTGTCCACACTGTCCCGACATTGTACTCACTGTCCCACCGTGTCCTCACTGTCCCACCGTGTCCTCACTGTCCCACCCTGTCCTCACTGTCCCCACCGTGTCCTCACTGTCCCCACCGTGTTCTCACTGTCCCACCGTGTCCTCACTGTCCCACCCTGTCCTGTCACACCCTGTCCTCACTGCCCCACACTGTCCTCACTGTCCCACCGTGTCCTCACTGTCCCACCCTGTCCTCAGTCCCCACCCTGTCCTCACTGCCCCACCCTGTACTCACTGCCCCACCCTGTCCTCACTGTCCCCACCCTGTCCTCACTGTCCCACCGTGCCCTCACTGTCCCACCCTGTCCTCACTGTCCCCACGCTGTCCTCACTGTCCCCACCCTGTCCTCACTGTCCCACTGTGTCCTCACTGTCCTCACCCTGTCCTCACTGTCCCACCATGTCCTCACTGTCCCCACCCTGTCCTCACTGCCCCACCGTGTCCTCACTGTCCTACCCTGTCCCCACTGTGTCCTCACTGCCCCACCCTGTCCCCACTGTCCCACCGTGTCCTCACTGTCCTACCCTGTCCTCACTGTCCCCACTGTGTCCTCACTGCCCCACCCTGTCCTCACTGTCCCACTGTGTCCTCACTGTCCAACCCTGTCCTCACTGTCCCACCATGTCCTCACTGCCCCACCCTGTCCTCACTGTCCCACCGTGTCCTCACTGTCCTACCCTGTCCTCACTGTCCCACCGTGTCCTCACTGCCCCACCCTGTCCTCACTGTCCCACGGTGTCCTCACTGTCCTACCCTGTCCTCACTGTCCCACCGTGTCCTCACTGTCCCACCCTGTCCTCACTGTCCCACCGTGTCCTCACTGTCTTACCCTGTCCTCATTGTCCCACCCTGTCCTCACTGTCCTACCCTGTCCTCACTGTCCCACTGTGTCCTCACTGCCCCACCCTGTCCTCACTGTCCCACCGTGTCCTCACTGCCCCACCCTGTCCTCACTGTCCCACCAGTGTCTCACTGGCCCCACCTGTCCTCACTGCCAACTGTGTCCACTGCCCTACCCTGTCCTCACTGGTCCCCACTGTGTCCTCACTGCCCACCCTGTCCTCGACTGTCCCACCAATGTGGATCTCACTGCCCCACCCTGTCCTCACTTGTTCCCACCGTGTCCTCACTGTCCCACCTGTCCTCACTGTCCCAC